CAGCAGTAGAGCGGCATGGCCTACAGAGCTAAGAACCTGTGGCTTCGGACCTTGTGGGGGAGAAGGGGTACCTGCTATGTAGTGAGGGAGGGAGAAGCAGCATTGTGGAGGCCTGCATGGTGAGGTTAGGGGGCCAATGTGGTGCCTTATGCAGCCTTGGTGGGACTGGCCTATATGAGGTATGGTTTTGGGGTCTATGGCCCCTGGTCTCTCAGAACTTGGACAGCCCTGAGCTTAAATCCTGCTCCTTTAGCACAAAAGGAAAATACTTGTCTTTATTTCTTTCCACTTTAATTTGCACTTTTCACATCCTGAAACACTCAAGAATATAAAATCATAGAAAGTTAGCGTTGGAAGGGACCTCAGAAGGTCATTTAGTCCAACCCACTGCTCAAAACAAGACCTTCCCTTCATTCCAGCCAGAGGAATTTGGCAAAGCAGGGAACTGAATCTAAGTCTCCAAAGTCCTAGTTTTACACCCTATCCAGTGGACCAAGATGCATCTCATCCTTGTCTTTGGGGGAAACACAAAAATGAGTCAGTCTTGCCTTTCTTTTAAAATGTAGCTGGAGCAAAAGTTGGTAATGGTGGTGCTGATGATGAGAGAATTATTCTTACTCTTGTTTCTACTTTTAAGTCCAATTAATCTTGAAGTATTTTTTCTGAATAGTGGAACAGCTTCAACAGGAGGGAATTAGAGTGCTAAAGTAAAGAATGGTCTGTATCCTAACAGTTAGATGTAGGAGATGTATATGTAACCTGGGTGTACCGGAGGGTACCCCCTCTCCAGTTGAAGGGATGTCAGTGGGCGTGGAAATGCTGCAAGAGCATGGCGGCTTAGCTACAGGCCAGCTCACCTCCTTTTCCTACAGAACCAAGCCGAAAGCTCACCTCTTTCCCCTACAGAACCAAGCCGAGGCCAGAACACTCAGTGATACTTAACTATTTACAGGTTTAGTGACACAACATAACATAAAATTATAACCATAACTTACATACACAAATATTGCTCCCTCTCTTTCTACACACACACACACACACACACATATTAGGCCTGTGCGAATAGGGAAATATTCAATTCAGATTTGGCTGATTTGGAGAACAGTGATTTGATTCGGAAATTCAGATCACTGTCCTGAATGGATTTGGCTGAATCAGCTTCGGAAGATTCGGCACAGATTTGGAGAGATTCGGTGATTCAGATCAGCTGGGGAAAGGGAGGCACAGCTGGGGAGTGGCAGGTTCACTTGCAGCTCTTCCAACTGTGCCTGCCTCTCCCTGGATAAGGAGAGGCATGAGAGAAGCCCCCAGGGCTGCCTTGCCCAGCCCCATTTCCTGCCTGGCCCCAGCCTAGTCCCAGCACTTAAAAAAAAGAAAAAAAAAAGAAAGTAAAGCCCCGCACTTACCGGCTCTGGCAGCAGCAATCAGGGCCTCTGAGGGCTCATGGCAGAGCCTCCCCATGCAGTGCAGGGCAGTTGGAGGCAATGGGGATTGCTCCCCCTCCCCCCGCCTAGCACCAATGCGGCAGCTGTTGCATTGCATGGGTGGAGCGCAGCTTGGCAGGGCACCACACACTGCCTGGGAGCTGGGGCCGCTGGGGCTGAGCACTGCCAGGCTCCAGGTGACATGGAGTTGCCCCAGCTCCCAGACAGAGTGCAGCACCCTGCCGAGCTACGCTGCACCCGTGCAATGCGATAGCTGCTGCATGGGTGCCAGGTGGGGGGTGATCCCCACTGCCCCCCCACTGCCCTGTGCTGTGTGGGGGGGCACTACTACATGCCTTCTGGGCCCCAATCCCCACTGCCTATGTGCTGGGCACACTGGCTTTTTATTCCTTCTGGAAGCTCTGCCTTCATATTGGGAGCGGACCAATAGGAAAGCCTGAGGGGTTATTTCCCCCTCACGTCCTCTTCTTTGCCTTGCCCCTAGGTCAGGCTGGCTTGAAAATGATCCAGAAGCTTCTGTTGGTGCAGAATCCATCAGCCTGCTTCCTGTCGGGCGTGGGTCACCAGGAGCACCTAACTTGAGGACTCCAGACTCTGCACTGGCCTCTAGTATTTTTCCAGAAACAATCCAAAGTGCTAGTATTTCTGAATAAGGCCCTGAAAAGTCTGGGCCCTATGTACCAAGGGGACTCCCTTCTCCCTTACACTCTAACATGATCTATAAGATTAAGGTCAGTTGAGAGCAACCTTCTGCAAGTATCATTAGTATACCAACTCTGCTTGGAAAAAATGGGTGGGAGGCTGTTTTCAGCAGTTGCTTCTCATCTCTGAAATACTTGAAGTCTGCCAGAGACGGAGCCTTACAGAAGATTTGTAAGACCCTTCCTATTTCGGAAGACACTTGGCAAGCAAATCTAAGCTGAAATAGTATTTAGGGATCTCTGTTTTACATAGATCATTGTTTTGCTCTCTTATCAGTCTCCTGTTTTATAAATTATTCTGTCCTCTAACTGCAAGCTGCCGTGAGTCTTTGTTGAGAAGTGCAGCATGTAAATACACAAATGACCTTGAGAACATCCACAGAGACAAGTAAAGGAATGCCTAGTTTATAGTTCACAATTGGCTTTAGCAAGACCTACGCCCAGGTTGGGCAATTATTTGGGATGGAGGGCCACTTAAAGAGTTTCGGTGAGCTGTTGAGGACTGGGGGAGGAGTTGCTGACCCAGCCTAGGCCCTCTGTCATGGATGTTTACACCACATGGCATGCTGGGGAGATGCCAGTTGATCCTATCTGACCCCATCCACTCCATATCTACCATTGGGGGTGCCACATTGAGTGGGCAGACAACTGCTGTCTCCATTGAGACCAGCTTGGGACCCCAGGAGGCACTTAGTGGGGTGGATGGGTTGGAGCTATGGACAGGGGGGTGGCACCTGGGAGTGAGATGGGCTGGGGCTGGGATTACAGGGCAGCGAGAGCATGGGGCTAGGGCTGGGGGCAGAGCCACAAACTGCTCCCCACACATTGATGGGTGCTAGATCTGTAGGCAGAAATATGTGGAAAGTGGATCATGGCTGTGTCCCAGGGCCTAGCCCCATGCTGTCACTGCCTCACAGTCCTGGCCCTGGCCCTGCCCATCCTGCTCCCAGATGCCACTCCTTGCCTGTTCACAGCCCCATCCCAACCACCTGGCCATACCCGGCTGGTCTCCATGGAAATTCTGCCTGCCTACTTAATCTGGTGTTTTCCAGTGGTGGGCATGGGGTGGATGGGCTGGGGTGCCTGGGCAGCAGAGCCAGGTCTGGCAGCAGTGGTGGAGATGCTGTTAGTGGCAGATAGAAAGTGAGGGTGAGAGCAAGCTGCCACTGCTGTGGGGCTGCTGGGAAGCTGAGTCCAGCTGCTGCACAGCACCACACAACCCCATGGGCTATAGCTCCTGGCATGCCCAACCACACATGGGGATAGGGTGGGCTGCACTCTGTGCCACGTTGCACCTCCATTCCCAGGGGTGGTGGGACCAGCCGCGTGTGCTGCACGTGAGCCGGGTGGGGCTGAAGAATTTGCCATGGGCCAGATAGAATCATTTGGCAGGCTGGGTCTGGCCTGAGGGTCATATTTTCAAACCCTGACCTAGACATTGAACTGCTCAGATCTATCAAGAATGCAGTGTTTCTGTGTATGGAAAGTAGAAAACCTTTTGGCATTAATGTGTCTACTGTAAAAACAAAAAAATGCCCCCCCCCCC